ATCATTATTATTACCTATGGACAATCTATAATATAAAAATATAAAAGAAAATGAATATACATACACATATTGATACCCCATCCTATTTCCTTTTTTATTTCGTGCCAATTAATCAAACTTACATCGTGATCATGTAAATAAGCCAACCCTTCCAAAAGTTGAGCAATCAAATGACAAGCATCACGTTCTGTATAAGATCCTCTGTCTAATAGCTGTTGAAACAATTCCCCTCCACTAGCCAAATCTGTAACAATATAAACAGCATCCTTGGATTCATACAAATCATGCATAGATATAATGTGTGGATGTTTAACTTGCTTTAAAATATCTATTATTAACACGTATAGTTATATATAGATATAGATATAAATATATAGATATAGATATATATATTATTTAATAAGCTTGAATTCTTTTTTCTTTTTTTATTATTGTTGTATCCTTGTATTTATCTTTCTTTTTAGTACCTAATTCACTTGTAAGCATATGCTCCTTTCCTACAAGATAACAAAAAGAAAAAGAAGGATAAGAAACACTTGAAATAAAATAACTTGTTTATATTAGTTTTACCAGCAATAACTTTTTTCAAGATAATTTTTAAAGCATAAGATTTTCCAGTTGAGCGATCAATACATTCTTTCACAACAGCAAAAGAACCAACACCTAATGTTTTTGTAGTGACTCGATAAACTTTGGTTAATTCAACTGGATATGCTGAATCTTCATCTTCTTTTCCATGGGTCTTCTTAAATAAAGCTAAAAGTCTTTTCATTAAAGGTGATTTTGCCATCTTTGGTTATTTATTAATTCTTTATATCGATTAAAATAAAATACAGAAGAAAGAAAAGAGAGAGAGAGAGAGAAAAAAAAAAAAAAAAAAAAAAAAAAAAAAAAAAAAAAAAAATAAATATATATATATATATATATATATATATATAAAATATTAAAAGGCACCACCTTTTGATTTGTGTCACCCTTGGCCTTCTCTATAAATAAAAATAAAAAATAAAAAAGTTCTCCCCATTTTCTTTTTTTAATAATTAATCCTAGACAGCAGCAATAATGTGCGTCAGTCCAATACTAAATATAGTTTACTATTATTATTTATATTTACTATTTATTTATTTATAAAATGTCGTCTTTTTTATTTTTCCTGCTTTCTTTTTCTTTTGCTTTTCCTTTTTTCCCTTTTCTCTTTCTTGGTGTAATTCTTTTAATATATGCCTTATCCTACACAACATGGTCGTTTTCGTCGATGGATTCACCAAATAATACCAGAAATAAAATGGAAAAAGATATATAATAAAAGTCATCATAATAAAACTTCTTCCTTCAAACAAGCATCACCTAATATTAAAAAAAAAAGCAATCCAATCATTTATCAACTGAACGGATTATTTTATACCCTAGAACCATATCAAATTAATATATTATTTTTTGTTTTTTCATTATTATTATTAACTATTATTTACATCTTTTTTCAAATGGGAAGAATCATTGGTTTATTAGAAGTCATAGTTTATGGTACCAATGATATTCTCCGCTTTTTTTTATGGTTTTTATAAAATCTTAATTTACCTCAAGAAAAAAAGATTAGTAAAACTGAGAAAAAAAAAAATTAATAAATTTTAAATTCACCATTTTTTTTTTCTCTTTTCTTTTTTGCCCTCTTTCTTTCTTTCTTTCTTCACCTTTTTATTATTATCATTATTGTTTTATTGTTATTATATCCAAATATAAAACCGACTTGAAAGCTATTTATTATATAACTAATGTCAACACAACATAAACTTCTTGTAGCTAATCGTGGAGAAATCGCAATTCGTATTTTAACAGCAGCTGCTGAGTTGGGTTACTATACTATAGCTGTCTATGCAGATAATAATGATAAATCCCATTGCGCTTTTGCAAACGAGTCTATACAGCTTGAATCCATACAGTCTTTTTTAAAAGTGGATCATATTATTCGTGCTGCTAAAAGGTAGCCTTTATATATATATATATATATATATATTAGAGAGAGTGTCGATTTAAAATAAAATAATAAAAAAAATTTATTCTTTATATATTTTACGTGTAGTGTAAAAGCAACTTTGATCCATCCTGGTTATGGATTTTTATCTGAATCCACCTTATTGGCTGAACAATGTGAAAAAGAAAAGATTCGCTTTATTGGTCCATCTAAAGCATGTATTGAAGCTGTAGGTGATAAAGTAGCTGCAAGACAAGTTGCTATGGCCGCAAAGATTCCTGTTATTCCTGGTACACAAGAATCTATTACTGTTCCATCTCAAGTTCTTGAATTTGGTCATAAATACGGCTATCCAATTATGCTAAAAGCACGTGATGGAGGAGGAGGGCGTGGTATTCGAATGGTCCATGATCCAAAAGAAGTTCAAGAAGCTTTAAAATTATGTATGAATGAATCTCCTTCTAAACAAGTGTTTATTGAAAAAGCTATTGTTGGTGCTAAACATATTGAAGTTCAAATTATTGGCGATGGGTATGGAAATGTTTTACATCTCTTTGAAAGAGATTGTTCTATTCAACGTCGTTATCAAAAAATTTTAGAGGTAATAATAATAATAATAGCGACAATAGTTGGAATAGATAAGGAATTTTATGCATGACTTGTATTTTTTATTTTGTTTAAATAAAAAAAAAAAATATATTTAGGTTGCACCATGTCCATCTTTATCACCTGCTTTAAGGCATCAAATCCATCAAGCCGCTATTCGTCTTGCTCAATATATTAAATATGATTCTGCTGGTACAGTTGAATTTCTTGTTAGTAATGACGGTTCATTTTACTTTTTGGAAGTCAATCCTCGTATCCAAGTGGAACATACCATCAGTGAGCAAATAACCAATGTAGATATTGTTCAAACTCAAATTCTAGTAGCTATGGGAAAAAATCTGATTCATGATTTACATCTTACTCAAGATATTATTCAGCTTTCTCACCCTAACCAAGTAGCAATTCAGGCTCGTGTCGTTGCAGAAAACCCTCATCAAGGCAATGCTTTGTCCGTTGGAAAAATTAACCATGTTTCTTTTCCAATAGGTAGCTATGGCATTCGTGTAGATACTTGGTTACATAACGGATGTCTTGTATTACCTGTAAGCTTTTTTTTTAAAAAAAATAAAATAAATAAAAGTGAAATGAAATAAAAATAAAAATAATACTAACCATTAATTTTATATATATCTGATAGTCTTTTGATTCATTATTAGCTAAAATTATCGTAACAGGAAGCAACTTGGAAGACGCTTTATCAAAATTGGCTATTGCACTTCAAAGAACAATGATTGTAGGCGTTGAAACCAATCTTGATTTCCTTACAGCATTAGTACTGGACAAAGGTTATTTGGGTGATAATTTAAAACATGTACATATTAAGTCGCTTGAAGAAAGAACAAATGATTTATTAAAGGCAAGTTTAATATGGACAGAACAAAGAAAAAAAAAGACAGCATTATTATTCAACAACAGCGATAGCAACAGCAACACAAAACTAGGCCCTAATGATATGGCAACTACTTTACAATTTAAACCTGGTGATGCCTTTAATATTAATATAGGAGATCAAACACAATCAATTCAGTTCGAGTCCATTCAAATCAATAACTTCCCGAATCAAATTGAAGCACAAATTCAAACCACCTTCCCCAACATGAACAATCCATCTACTTTAAAATTAACTAAAAAGTCAGCGATTGGGTCCTCTTCTCATCTTCGTCGAAAAGCAAATACCGCTAATCCAAATGAAGTTTCTACACCTATTACCGGTATGATTGTAGAAATCAGCGTGAAGGAACATGATATTGTTGAAGTAGGACAAGAATTATTTGTGATGACAGCTATGAAAATGGAGACAGTCGTAAAATCACCTATTCGTGGTCGTGTACAAACTATTACTTCAAAAGTGAATGATTTACTTGAAAACGGTGACTTGGTAATAGAACTTTCTGATATGAAAGAAAATAAACTTTAGATAGATTTTTTATTTTTATTGTTTTGTTTTGTAAATTATTATAATGATGGTTTGTATTTTTATTATAAATTATTCAATAAAATAAAGTTGTCTTTTTCTAGTAAATTCAATTAAATGAAAAAAAAAAAGCTTAATTGTTTTTAAGAAAAACCAGACATATAATAATAAAGAAAAGTATCTATTTCATTAGTCGTTTAATTTTACATAAAATACTAATAGTTGCTGGTACTTTTTTTTTTTTTGAATATGCACTTGATGACTATGTAAAATGAGGGGATAGCTTTTGGAATCGAAGTGGATATCTATTTTTCCATCCATGCAACACTGATATTTCCTTTTTTTTTTTCTTTAATCCGTATTTTTATTTATTTGTTGTCAAGTAGCCATATTTTATCTTTAAAGCAAAGTCGACAAAATCTCTTCCCTTTTCTTTCGTACAGTTGTCATATATAAATTACTGTCAGATTGTTATTTGAGCCTAAATGTAGTTGGCATAAATACCTTTTGCTATTTCATAGCTTTGTTTTTCTTTAGTGTTAAATAGTTGTTATAAGCATATTAATTAATATAAAGAAAAATAATAATCCAATAATTTATACTAAAAAGAAGTATATTTATAAAATATAACAATAATACGTTATCATTTTAAAATAATAAAGTAAATAAAGAGAGGGAGGGAAAAAGAAACGAATATGAATTCTGTATCTATTTTTAAAAATAGCATTTCGGGCGGCATTTAAAATATTGAGCCGATTTAGGAAATATGACGGACTTTAAACCTTTCTACATCTTGGAATTATTTCACTTATATTTTTATTATTTACTATTTCATTAAGTTCACTTGTGATCTTATTAATTAAATATTTTTAAATAAATTGTTGTTTTCTTACTCCATATATAATAGTGCCATTATAATTATGGGTTATATCCAATCTAATAATTTTGGATTGCTTCAGATTACTATTCTTACTATTATTTTTTATTTCTTCTCTAGCACAGTTATAGAGCGACATGGCCGAGTGGTCTAAGGCGATACATTTAGGATGTATTCACTTCGGTGGCGCGAGTTCGAACCTCGCTGTCGCTAACATACTTTTTTCTATTTTATAGCATTTTGAAAAAAAGGGTAATCTTGTTATTTTTTTTTTTTTGAAAACTATTTTTATTTTTATCGTAATGATTGTGATTATAATATTTTTTTTATTTTCTAACTTTAAACATGTTGTATGACTTTTTAATAGTGTTATGTGGGTTGTTGTGTGTGTTTTTGGTAAGAGTTACTTTTATTAAAATAATAAATAAGAG